AACTCTACCATCTGCCAAAGAAATTAAACGGCAGGTATCCACCATGTATCAAACACCAAAAACATGACCAGTTTGGAAATAGGAAGAAAACAAGTTTTGAAATCTTAAAACCATCGTTTCAACTCAGGCTCTTTGACTTTCTAGCTATGGTCATAAGAAAGTTGCTCAATCACTCCAGGTGTCCCTCTCATCAAAATAAAATGAGAAAAGTGTGAGGTGTGTGTGTGTGTGTGTGTGTGTGTGTGTGTGTGTGTGTGTGTAAATGTGTGTATATGTGTATTTATTTAATCCATTACATAGTATATGTTCAATGGAGCCAGCATGATATTACTGTCAATAACCAATGCATCAATTAAACTAAATATGCAATACCATCATATACTTGTTTAAACTATACTTTTAAACTTTAGTTTGGATTTATTAGAGTTAAGGTTGGGGTAGGATTAGGGTAGAAGCAAGGGTCATGGCTCAGTTCAGGGTTAGGGTTAAAGTTAGGGTTATGTTTTGAGTTAAAATTAGGTTAGGGTTAGGATGAGAGAGTTCAGGTTACAGTTGAGGTTAACACTGAGTTTGAGATTAGCGTTAGTATTAGGATTTGAGTTAGCCTTGAGGTTAGCATGTGGTTTTAAATTAGGGGTAGGTTTAATGTAAAAGCTAAGGTTAGGGTTAAGTTTAGGATTTAGGATTAGTGTTAGAATTTGATTTTGAATTAGGTTTTGTGTGAAGGTTGGGGTTAGAGTTAGAATTAGGGTTAGAGTTATGGTTAGGGTTGAATTTATAATTAGGATTAGGGTTAGAGTAAGAGTTAGATTAGAGCTTATTGTTTGGGTTAAATTAGTGTTAGGTTTAGGTTAAGTGTTAGGTGTAGGGATGCTTAAGGGTTAGGATTAGGGGTTGAGTTTATGACTAGGTTTAGGGATAGTGTTAGAGCAGAGTTAACTTGGAGGTTAGGGTTTGTTTTAAAATTAGATTAGATCTAGGTTTAGTATTTGGTTAAGAGATAAATTAGTTACATTTACAGTTAGCTTCAGGGTTAGGATTAAGTTTTTACTAAAGTTGGTGTTAAGATTTGAGTTAGAATTATGGTTAGGATTAGAATTAGCATTGAGTTTAGGGTTTGTGTTTAAATTAAGTTTATGATTAATGTTAGATTTAAAGTAAGAACTAAGGTAAGGTTTAGGTTTAAGGTTAGGATTAGGTTTTGAGTTATGTTTAGGTTTAAGATTAGATTTAGAGTTAGAATTATGGTGAGGAAAAACTATGGTAGATAATGTGTTAGTATGACTATGTTAAAAAGGAAAAAGTCACAACAAAACAGATAGATGCATAATATTTACATTTTGACTTATTAAAAAGTCCTTAAGTAGGTTTTAAAAATTCCCAAAGTTACTTAATATGCTATGATGTAACAGCATTTTGATGTTTTCTAAGGATTGACAGCAAAGTGCTACATCTCTTCAAGCTTGTAATTTACTGCCTGTTCGAGCTCTGCTTGTGCCAAGTTAAATACAGTGTATGAAGTCCCCACCAGAAATAACATGGCATGGCCGCCTGCTCCTCTCATTGGCTGAATGAGGCCCACTGAAGAAAGGGAAACAGGATTTTATGTAATCATCTGAATAACTGTGTTCTTCAATTTCTTGAATTAGAAGCTACTGGGATGGAGGGGTGAGGAAATTAAAAGAAATCCCCATGTAAATTATCAGGGCATCGGAGAAAATTCCGCTTGAAGTCCCTACATTTGAAAGGCAAAAAAAAAAAAAAGATTATTCTTATTAATGAACTACTCAGAAAGTCAACTTTTCCAAGCGCCCACATTTCTGAGGCCTCAGAGTACTCTGCCTGTGAGGCACAGATAGTTTTGCAGTATAAATGGTGGAGTGCTTCCTTCCAGCAGACCCCACCCAAAACTCTTCAGAGGAGTCTTGTAATAGAGAACATGAAGACATGGGATGAGAGATAAAAAAAAGACATGTCATGGGATCCAAGGAAGGTTTCTGGGTTTAAGGTGAAAGATATGATCATATATTTATCCATCAATGATAGAGAAGATGACATGCAGGAAAGGGACGATGTATCCATTGTGATAGAAGGGAATGAAATGAACTTCTTATGGATACACATGTAGAAGTTTGGGAGGTTCTATAAAGAAAATATGTAGTCGTTCTCTTCTGCTTACATCACTTTTGAGTGAAATAAGAAGCTGAGGGTGAGGAGAAAGGGGAAAGAATTGAGGAGAGAGAAGATGTGAAATAGTCATCCCAGAAGTAAAGATGTAGGTACATGTGGATAGCTGGGTAAAGCTGGAAGAAATTTGAGAGAAACAGTCATAAATTCTGAATTAGACTGTATTTACGTTTTCTTCTACCCATATCTATTGCTTGAGTGCAGGCATAGAATACTTTCCAGACATTTACATTCTATGAATTCAAGTCTATGATCTTTCAGATAGGGCTCAGCAAGACTAGAGGAGAGTGGACTGGGCCTCTTAACTAATTCCTAAGACCACCAGAGTCTTCCACTGTAGACCTTCATATCAAAACTCACACAACTCAAATTAGATACAAACAATAATTATTCTATGAAATTAAATTATAACTATCCTTGTGTTCACCCATAAAAATATTTCCTAAATATATTTTTTAAACTGTAAACAGACCAGGCTCTATAAGTGTATCTAGGATCTATCTTGGTATGCTTGTTTCATTTGAGCAACATTTGTATTTGTTCCTTAGTCATAGTGCTGAACTTTACCAAGAGAAAACAAATCAATTCTGGGCTCCTGAGGAAAGACCTTAGCAGATCTCCTTTTACTTCTTACTAATAATAAAGCTGCAATCAATTAGATCAAATAAGCACATTACCCATTTTATGTCACTGGGACAATTCAAGCCGAAGATGTACCTTTGCGTCTTCAAAGAACAAAAGCATGCGCACACACACTCACAAATAATAACATCTTTGAACTACAGTTACAAAAGCCAAAGAGTGTAAATTTCTTTTCACATCACAATGAAATAATTGAGAGAACACCAAAGATGCCAGAGCTCTGGTGCAATAGATAGCTGAAGTCTTTTTTTTTTTTAATATATTTTATTGATTTTTGTACAGAGAGGAAGGGAGAGAGATGAGAGAGAGTCATTGATCAGCTGCCTCTTGCACACCCACTACTGGGGATATGCCCACAACCAAGGTACAAGCCCTTGACCGGAATTGAACCCGGGGCCCTTCAGTCCCCAAGCCGACGCTCTATCCATTGAGCCAAACCGGTCCAGGCAGATAGCTGAAGTCTTTACAAAACTTTTTTTTAAAATACATTCTATTTTTTAAAATAAGCAAAAGATAAATTGTAAACCTTCTACATGAGCACCTCGCTATGTAACGTGAGTTGGAATTTCACTGTAAAGCCTTCCAACTCATAAATGCTTCCTCCATACACATCAAAAAGTGAGGCTGAGACTGCCATTATTTGAGATGAATTCCCACAGGTTCTAACATTGTCCCCTGTTAAAATGCCGTTGGCAGGGATTTCCATTATTAATGATGAGCATAAATCAATTCGCTGATGAGACCCCTTAGCTAAGAGCAAGTTTGGTGGAGTCGAAGAAGGAAAATGGAATCACACACTTTCCTATCAAAAGTACCAGGCTCTGAAAGAATACTCCACGAGGAGGCAGGAGGTCAGAGTCGGAGTCCATCTAACCAACCTAAGCTGCCTTATCTTGAAAAGGCTGAATTTGATCATCTCTAGTCCAAAAAGACCACTTTATTGATGGGAGGTAGGTCTATCGAGGAGGGTAGGAGCAAATACAAAGGGCTAAGGAGAGGGGAAGCAAAATGTGACCCAGGGTGGTCACACAGCCACACTGGGAGAAAAGAGGGAAGGAGCTAAAGAAAACGCCTCCACCATGGTAACTTTGCCAAAAGATTAACTCAATGTGCTAAAAAGAGAGACCATAGTTCTACAGGAAAATCATAGTGACATCTCGGGTATAAAGACCATAAATAGCAATAGAGAGAGAATTGTGGAATCACATTGGGTCACCGCTTTCTTTGGATCTGTATTAAAAAACTGAAATGAAACTAAATGAAACTAAAGTTTTGCCTGAGGAAATACTGTTCTTAAAACTAAAAGAATGGTTAGCAGTGTTGATGGGTTTCCTGACAAATGGAAAATGCTGACTTTTATGTGTTCTGTTAAGAGCACTAGCACTAAAATGACTATAGCAAAATTCACTCCCTTCTTCAACAGAAATTTTATAGTATCTTGTATGTGCTTCTACTGGGTATAAAAAAGGACACCATGAAAAAGACACCTCTACTCTTAAACTTACAACATAATGCAGAAGATATGACAAATATATTAGTAAATACAATGAGATCTGATACAACGGGGCTAAGCAAAGGTTAGGGGTTTGGAAGAAGAGTTAGAGTTTTTTGTTTTTGTTTTTGAAAGATCCCAGTTCCTTCACACTTCATTCACACTAGCCAAAGTCAAGAATTTCTAAGGACAAGTTTAGACACTTAATAAAGAACAGCAGTTCCTGAACCATCTGCTTTGCTCAAAAACGAAGATCTGTCACAGGCAAATTTTCATTTTACTCCAACCCTGTGAGAATATTATTGTCAACTGGGGTAGGTAACATTTGGTTTATAACTGACATAGTGAACAAACCACGCTTTCTCAAATGGCTACAATTATAGTGCCTCTTTTGGGTGGAAAAAAAAATTAAAAAGTAAAGCAAACCATCCTGAGTCCAACAGTTATTCACTTTCAACGAGTTTCTTTGATCCATTTAAGTGTCCTGTTACTAATCTTATGATGAAGAAATGTGCATAACACAGCATTTACAGTGAACAACAGAACCTTGTTATAGTTAGACAAAGATATATGACAGGACACTCTGAATGTTTTCTTAAGGAAATCGTTTCACAAACTCATACCATACAAAACTGCAGGTTCCAGCAGCCCCAACACTATATTCTTGTTGTATTCTTACCTGGTAGGGAACAATGCTGCCATGAGCTGTTCCCCAACGTTTTGCTTCTTGTTGGCCAATAAGATAATTAGCAGCGACCTGGGTTAAACATGCCACCTATCAGAAGAAAACAAAGAAGAAGAAAAAAAGTCAGTGTATCTATACTTACTCATTACCAAAAGGTTATAATATGCAAGTTCTGGCTTGATTTTACTTTATGTCATTGAAGAAGATAAGAGAGAGAAAAAGAAACTCCCAACAGATTAGAAAATATAGGTATCACCTTTCATCATACAAAGCAAGGAAGAACCGTGTTAGATTCGTGCATGAGACCAAGTCCTGCGTACCGGTCACCTGAGAAGTATAAATACAGAAACATTGAGCTCCTGAAAAGATCGCCTGAAGGCAGAAGTTGCCCCGGCAGGTGGAACCTGGTCAAGCTTTTAGCATCAAAGCCTTAGCAAAATAAATCGGCAATCATACATTCCCTTCCCCTCTCCTCCCGTCCTTTTACTTCCCATCAAGAGGATGCAAAATGAGACTGTGCCATCACTGAGCAGGTGAAGCAAAGTCAGGAGGCACATTCCTCTACACTTGTCATTACGTATATAGACAAATGAACTAACTAATCTCTATTTTGTTTTTAAGTCCATTGAGTCAAGTTTTCTGTTCCTTGCCGCCTAACGCGTTTCTGCTCACACAGAGAATCAAGATTATTTATTTATTTTCATTCAGAGTGAATCACCCTCATTGAAACAAAAAGTACTGTAACTTTCCCAACTTGCTCTGGCCTCGTTATTATACCTATTTCCATGTTCAAGAGGCATAGTTCTATTAAAGGTGTTATCTAAAACTGACTCCTGCAACATTTCATATGCAGATCTCGAAAATCCACAATAATTCAACTCCATGTAAGGCTAGCATGAAGATATAAACCTAATTCCTGGAGATCTGTCACAAGGAACTATGTTCCAGTGAAAAGCCATGCCTTTGAGGGCCCAGGATTACAGAAAGGAGGTGACCTGATAACAGCTTTTCAGTTTCCAGAAAAAAATAAGGCATCTTGACTTCCAATATCATCAAGAGATAGCATGGGCTTGCTTTTCCCGTTATAAATCATCAGATGTGACTAGGAATCTATCAGGAATACATTCCACATTGAAACTGGCTCCTGCAACAACTCCACGGGTGATTTTTCAAGGGTTGGTGCCGCAACCTGTTATTGCCCTCTGCCTGGCGTGGCACCTGTGCCTCCTACCAAGGCCATCCATGGGGCTCGGCCTGAGTGAATCTCCTTCAGCGGCAGCCATTCTCCTTTAGCGTGTTCTTGGGATTTACGCTGACTTTTATGTTCATTTACTGCTCTGTTGAAATTGGAACTGTCTTATGGCAGCTGGTTCGGCTGTACTGGCCAGGTGGCAAAACTAATAAACTTTGAGTCATCCACTTCTGGACCTCCATCTGGTCTCGGGCATTTGAACCATGGAGCATTCCAGGGCTGCCTGGGGCTGCCTAATGTTAATCACCATTTCACAGATCACTTCTGTGTCTCTCAAAATGGAAAACCAGATCAACATTTTGTAGTGAAAATACACTGGATAGGAAGTCCAGGTTCATGGTTTCTAGTTTCCGTCAACCTCTAAATAGTTGTAGGTATGTAATTTGATTTTCAGGTACATTCTCTATAATATCTTTGACATTTGACCTAAACCAAATTTCAATTTTTTCAAGCTTTTTATAAAAGAGCAGAACTCCTATATCAAACCACGTAATATAGGAAATCCTAATCTATAGGATATCTTTTAAAAAATTGAATAATTATGAAGGCTGTGTTTATTAAAATACATTTCATTTTCAAAATTGAGCATTAGCTGTTAGAGTGGGTATACATTTGGGGGGACACCCTATGTATGTACATAATTTCCCCACGTGCTCTGACTGACGCAGAGGCAGATCTGCAATGCCACCCTGGGCACATGAACACAGAACACAATTTGCAACACAGTAAATAGCCTTAACTTTGCTTCCAAGTTCTCTGCACCTCTGACTCAATTATTCTTCTTAAAAGTCTGGCTGATAAAAAAGATAGCAGGGATGCGATAGTAGTAATTTTCCTGTGAAATTGAGAAAATTTTCTCCAGTCTAAGGTTTTTCTACTTTATTACCTTTAATCTAGCTATGTTTTTGTTTTGTTTTTTAGGGGGGAGGGAATGGGTCAGGGAGAGGTGTTTTTTTTTTTTCAAATACATTTGGTTAAAGCATCCTCAAAGGTGCTCTGCTCCTACTGGATGCAAAGAATCTATAATAATAAAAGTATAATATGCTAATTAGACCAAATGTCCTTCCAGATGACCTTCTGGACTAAGCCAAGGCTGTGAGGGAAGCCCGGGTCCCGGATGCCAGAAGGAAGCCAATGCTGGCAGCCAGGGGAAGGAAGGCCTGTTCTTTTTTCTTTTTTCTTTTTAGAGAGGAAGAGAGAGGGATAGAGAGTTAGAAACATTGATGAGAGAGAATCATCGATCAGCTGCCTCTTGCACTCCCTCTACTGGGGATATGCCCGCAACCAAGGTACATGCCCTTGTCCGGAATTGAACCTGGGACCTTTCAGCTTGCAGGCCAATGCTCTATCCATTGAGCCAAACCAGTTTCCGCAGGAAGGCCTACTCTTGCATGAATTTCATGCATCAGGCCTCTAGTTCACATTAATAAAACTAATTCTTTGCAAGCAATTAATCACAACAGGCTTAGTATATCCACTTTTCTAATCTCAAGGTCAATTGGTAATTAATACATCCACATCAGCAAGGGCTGCATGAGATAGTGGGCTGACTGGATGATAACAGGTTAGTCTTAAATCCTAGACTGAGACAACAGCCAGGGGTAGGCATGGGGTGGACTGTACCTGGCTATCTTGTCCACTACCTCATCCTTTCTTCTCAATTTTGTCCCCGCCTTGATAGTCTGTCTTTGACAACTATTTAATAAAAGTAGCCCCATTTAGTGTTAGTTTGAATGAAGAGTCAGAACTCATCTCACAGACTGTTTCTAAATGGAATACTATATCCATTTTCTCCACACAGTGCTGACTCATGAAAACAACAAACATTTCAGAATAGCGTGTTCCCACTGGGCAAACAGATTAAATAAGATTTGAAGCCAGATGTCATCCAGAAACAAAATATGATTTATCAGTAAATACTCAGAGGCAAAGTTGGAGGGAAAAGAATTATACTTTGAAAAAAGAGAGCACTGTGCTTAACTTAGTAACCCAATGTTTAAAAGGGGTATTATAGATCTGAAAGTAATCTACTATTTACAGGATTTTTTTTAAGGCAGGAGAAAGGGGGAAAAGTGATTATGTATAAAAAAACAGAGGCTTCCTGGCAATTAATGACAAATTTTGCACAACTCAAATGAACATAGGATGTGACTTTTTGGTTAATAAGTATATACTGTATACCCATTCTAAATATTGCATTATGACATTTTCATCCCCTAAACTTAGGCTCATTATTCCATCATGTGGATGCTATATAATTTACTCAGAATGTTGCCTTTATATGATTTCATCTAAACAAAAAAAAAGGCCATCTTTGATTTAATAATAATCATTCTGACAACAAAACTATTATTTTAATAACATAGTGGGTCCTTAATGTTCTTTGTTTCTGACCAGAAAACCAATGGGGTGATCAAAGTGGATCTCAAAGGGCAGAGTCACTAAAGGATTGAGAAAGAAGACACACAATTATTTCCCAAAGCAGCTCCTTGGTATCGGTCACCGCATGTTTCACTCCAACCAAATAAAGACCAAGCTGCAATAATAAGACCTTTCGTCTCCAAAAGGACAACCAAGTATGATAAGCAAAGTGGGGGAAACAAGACTAGAACTATGGTCCATGGCATCAAAATGGGCAATTCCACCGCCCCGCTCTCTTGCATATATTCTGGCCTCTAACTTAAACTGGACTAAATCCCAGTCGTGCTTCATTTCTGAATTTGCCCATATCTCTATTCAATCTTCAAAATCCACTTCAGTATCATCTTAGCCATTAAGTTCTCCCACCATTGAAGCACAAAAATATTTTCCCTACCTTCCTCTCTCTCTAAATTCAATAAAAATATATTTTTAAACTGTTAATTATTATAATCCAGATGTTAAAGATTTCCTTAGTTTTCACTTGATGTCTTTTTTCTGTTCCATGATACCATCCAGGTTAACTAATACATTATATGTACTTATTGGCTCCTTAGCCTCCTGTGGCTGCAACAGTTTATCATGCATCCCTTTTTTTTTTTTTTTATGACCTTGACAGTTTCGAGGAGTAGTAATGAGGTATTTTGCAGAATGTTCCTCAACTGGGAATTTTTAAAAGGTTTTCCCATAATTAGACTGGGATTATGGGGTTTTGGAATGAAGACCACAAAGGTAAGCGCCATTTTCAACACATCATATCAAGGGCTTATATTATGGACATGATTTATCACTTTTGGTGTTGAACTTGATCACCTGGGTGAGGCCGCGTTTATCAGGTTTCTCCCCTGCAAAATTACTCTTTTTTTTTTTCTCCATTTAAGAGGTAGGCGGCTATGATCCTCCTTTTAGAGGGTGTCTATATAAATTATTTAGAATTGTGCACAGGAAATCTGCTCTTCTCCCTTATTTATTCAATCATCTACTTATATCAGCACAGACTTATTTATTTTATACTTTGGATTATAATGGAATACTACTTTACTTTGTTGCTCAAACCATTCCAGATTTGGACACTGGAAGCTCTCTCAATTGGTTCCTGTGTCCCCTGACAGCCTCTCCATCATTGTCATTTGTTTTTCGTGTGTCTTTTCTTTTTTTTCTTTTAGCACTCTCTTCTTTGTGGCACTACAAGATGCTCCAGGCTCATCCTTATATGTCTTATTCCATTCTTACAGGAAAGCATAAAAAGAGGAGTCGTCCTAGGGTAAGGAAAGGGACCTACCATTTAGTTTAGTGTCAACTCGCACCTCATTGGTTCACTCATTTATTCAAAAATCTTGACCTCACACCTACTATGTACCAGGAACTATTCTAGGCACAAGTGATCTAGCAGAAAACAAGACAGATATGGTTGTACTCT